AAAGGGATCTACATAAATGGAGAAACATACCATGCTGATGGATAGGTAGACTCAACATTGTGAAAATGACAATTCTACCCAAAGCAATTTACAGATACAATGCAATCCTGATCCAAATACCAACAACATTCTTTAAAGAGATGGAAAAGCTAATCATTAACTTTATATGGAAAGGGAAGAAGCTCTGGATAAGTAAAGCACTATTGAAGAAGAAGAATAAGGTAGGAGGATGTGCACTACCTGACGTCAGAACCTACTATACAGCTACGGTTGTCAAAACAGCCTGGTACTGGTACAATGACAGGCATATAGACCAATGGAACACAATTGAGAACCCAGATATAAATCCATCCACCTGTGGTCACCTGATCTTCAACAAGGGCCCAAACTCCATCAAATGGGGAACAGACAGTCTTTTTAACAAATGGTACTGGCAAAACTGGGTGTCCATCTGCAAAAAAATGAAACAGGACCATACCTCACACCATATACAAGAACTAGTTCAAAATGGATCAAAGACTTAAATATCAAGCCAAAAACTATAAAGTTCATGGAAGAAAAAATAGGATCAACACTAGAGGCCCTAATACATGGCATTAACAGGACACAAACCATAACCAACAACACACAAACACCAGAAGTTAAGCTAGATAACTGGGATCTTCTAAAGATTAAACACTTATGCTCATCAAAAGACTTCACCAAAAGAGTAAAAAGAGAACCTACAGACTGGGGAAAAAATTTTGGAGATTACATGTCAGACAAAGGTCTAATCTCTCTAAAATCTACAAGAAAATCCAACACCTCTACAACAAAAAGACAAATAATCTAATTAAAAATTGGAACAGGAAATGAACAGACACTTCACCAAAGAAGACATTCAAGTGGCCAACAGACATATGAGGAAATCCTGACAATCACTAGCCATTAGAGAAATGTAAATTAAAGCCACAGTGAGATACCATCTCATCCCGGCATTACTTTCAGGAATCAGAAAAACTGGAAATAACAAATGTTGGGGAGTCTGCAGAGAGATCGAAATCTTAAGTTCTGCTGGTGAGAATGCAAATGATAGAACAACCATTTTGGAAAATGATACAGTGCTTCTTTACAAAGCTAGAAATAGAAATACCATATGATCCAGCAATCCCACTCGTAAGAATATATCCTAGAGAAATAAGAGCAGTCACATGAATAGACATATGCACATCCATGTTCATGGCAGCATTGTTCACAATAACAAAAAGATGGAAACAACCTAGATGCCCATCAACAAATGAATGAATAAACAAACTAGGGTACATACACACAATGAAGTACTACGCAACGTTAAAGAACAACGATGAATCTGTGAAGCATCTCATAACATGGATGAAAATAGAGGACATTATGCTGAGTGAAATAAGTCAATCACAAAAGGACAAATATTGTATGAGACCACTACTGTAAAAACACGTGAAAAAGTTTACACACAAAAAGAAACAATCTTTGTTGGTTAGGAGAGATGGGAGGGGTGGCTGGGTGGGGGATATTAAATAGACAAGATATAAGTGGTGACTTCGGTGAAGGGTAAGACAGTACACAATATTGGGGAAGCCAGCACAACTTGTACAAGGAAGCTCCACAGACACATCCAAACTCCCTGAGGGACTGAATTGCTCGGTGGAGGACTGTGGGGACCATGGTCTCAGTGAACATCTAGCTCAATTAGCATAACACAGTTTATAAAGAAAACGTTCTACATTCTTCCTTGGTGAGTAGCATCTGGAGTCTTAAAAGCCTGTAAGCAGCCATCTAAGATACTCCACTGGTCTCACACCTTCGGGAACAAGGGAGAATGAAGAAAACAAGATACAAGGGAATGATTAGTCCAAAGGACTAATGGATCTCAACTACCATGGCTTCTATCAGACTGAGTCCAGTACAACTGACTGCTCTGAGAGGGATCACAATAGAGGGTCCCGGACAGAGCTGGACAAAAATGTAGAACAAAATTCTAACTCACAAAAAAAGATCAGACTTATTGGCCTGACAGAGACTGGAGAAACCCCGAGAGTATTGCCCCTGGACACCCTTTTAGCTCAGAAATGAAGTCACTGCTGAGGTTCACTGTTCAGCCAAAGATTAGACAGCCCCATAAAACAAAACGAGACTAATGGGGCACAACATTCCAGAGACAAGGACTAGAAGGCAGGAGCGGACAGGAAAGCTGGTAATAAGGAACCCAAGATTGAGAAGGGACAGTGTTGACATGTTGTGGGGTTGTTAACCATTGTCATAAAACAACATGTGTACTAACTGTTTAATATGAAACTATTTGTTCTGTAAACCTTCATCTAAAGTAGAATTAAAAAAAAAAAAAGAGTAAATGACCAAAAAGCTATTGAAAATCGACACAAAAGTAGTCTAGTTTGGAATTGATTTTCAAGTCTAAAAGAAAACAAGAGCGGGTATAATGTTGTTAATTATGCCTTTTTTTTAAAAAAGCAAGCACGTTTCTGTTTGTATAAATAAGAGATCCATTTTAGTTTTATGACTTTAAGACAAGATCAAATTAAAGTGAAGTAGAGGTGGACAGTTTAATTTATTTTTTGTGTCCTAAGAAACTGAGTTGCTCTTTTGGTCTGACAGGTAGATAAATGACTTTTCTCTGCCCAGGGATTTTCTAATCACACAAACATAAAAGAGGGCAACATGTTAATAAATAAAAAGTAATAAGTGATAATTTGAGATTTTATGATGATAAACATACTTTAAAGAACAGAATTTACATGCAAAAAATTCTAATGTCACTGTTTTATTATGATAAATCTTTGGAAAGTAAGAGCAGGTGCTCTTCAAGGAATTAGAAATTGAGCTAATACATTACAAATATCCATTGGGAATTGTATTTTCAACTTACAGATAATCGTTCTTTTTCTAAACTCTAGATACATTTTTCAGGAGTCCCTGGGTAGCAAAAAGAATTAAGTGCCCCACTAGTAACTGAAAAGTTGGTGGTTTGAACCCACCCAGAGGTGCCTTGGGGCATAGGCCTGGCAATCTGCTTCTGAAAGGTCAAGACTTGAAAACCCTATGGAGCGGTTCTACTCTGAAACATATGTGGGGTCGCCATGAATCTGAATCAACTGTATGAGAGCTAACACCAACAGCCACTTTTTCAATACTGTTACAGACCACTATACATTTTATATTTAGATTATTTAGGAGAAAGTCCCATCTGGGTATTAGTGATTTTTGCTTTGCTCTTATTTCCCCTCATGCTCTGAGACTCCATCCCTGAAATTCAATTCCAAGTGAATTTTTTTTTTCTGCAAAAGAGAAACATAATTGCAGATGATAAAGCAGAAGTCTCTTTACTTTTCCACTGTTTATGACTGCAGTGTAAGAAAAGCGTACAGTTACAATAAGCATAAAATAAAAGAAACAGGTGTGAAACACTCATTTCAAAGACACAAGAAGTTTCATTTCATTTATGTCTTCACTTGATCTAACAGTTTCTTTTTCATCCCAATAGGAATACTACGACAAAGGAGATTACATCATTAGAGAGGGGGAGGAAGGAAGTACCTTTTACATTTTAGCAAAAGGAAAGGTAAATATTCATTAAAGCTTACTTAAAGTAAATCAGAAAAGTGTTTTCAGTTTGCCACAAACACAACAATCCTCACATTGTGACATAAGAAGGCCTCTGCATTGAACCAGTAAACGAGCTTCTACCAGAAGAATCCCATGGGGTTTGGACTGAGCACTGGGTTTGGGGTCACCGGAGACCTATGATGGGTTCCAGCTAAGATAGTGACTTTTTAGTGACCTTAGGTAAGTCGTTTGACTTTCTTTGAACCTGTTTCATTGTATATAAAATGACTGTTATTTGTAAGGTCCTTTCTAGCTATGAATGCATGATTCTCAGTCAGCTCAGGGGCCCAGGATCAGGGCTAGAACATTTTCCCATCTAGCAGATAGGACAAGCAGTGGGTGGAAGGGTTCTCTCTACTGAATGAATTCAGCAATTGAGGACAGCAATGGTTAGACATTGAGCTATACAGCCAATGTGTCTCAGAACTTCAGTTCATACACAAAACACAAGTTGATTTAGGTGCCTATGTAAATGTGATCCTAATACGTACAATAGATATTTTTCTTTACCTAAGATTTGAGTAGATACCATGTTGCCAGTTGTTCTTATGTTGGCCCTTGACCACGCCCTTCAGAAATAAAAAGCATTTTTGAAATATTGAAGGAAAGAGTAAATTGTTAAGTGCCTGTATCTATAAACTGTCAGATTTTCAAAGTACATTCTTTTTTCCATGGAAGAGTTTATTATCAGAATCAGACACTGCCCCTTGTAAACTGGTTTGTGGTTGAACTTTGGACTGGGTCCCTAGTGAAGAAAAATTTTAACAAAATAGTTTCAAACCTCCTAAACTCTTCAACACTCAGAATCACTTCTTATATGTCTCCTCAACCCAGACCCCATGAGTTGAAAGAATTCTGGCTAGTAAACAAATAGCGTTTTATTATTATTTTTCTTTATTTTATTCACTGTGACACGTATAAATGCCATTCAGAATTTCTAATCAACATGAAGCAACCCTGATTATCATGCTGAACTGGAATATATCTAGACCCCAAAACGGAATATTGAAATTTTTGTCTGCCTCTGCCAGGGAGGTTCTCAAATTTCCCTGGGCTGTGGACCACTCTGAGAAACTCATGAAAATTGTGGACCCTTCCCCAAATTCATGTTTTCTGTTCAGTTTTAGGAAGTATATAGGCTTCAGGGAGTCATTCTGGACACCAGATTAAGGACTCCTGATCCAGGAAAAAAAAAAAAAACAACCCATTGCCGTCAAGCAGATCCCAACTCATAGAGATCCTTTAGGACAGAGTAGAACTGCCCCAAAGGGTTTCCAAGGAGCAGCTGGTGGATTCGAACTGTTGACCTTTTGGTTAGCAGCCAAATGCTTAACCACTGCACCACCAGAGCCCCGTATTCTTGATTAATTTGCCATCTCTATTAGACTTTTTGAAATAACGTTAAGTTCCCACAGGACAATTATTATTTACTTTGAGTATCCCTAGGACAGACTCACTGGATTCACTTAGGAATTTGACTTTGGGAGGCAGGGCTTGAATGGAGACTCTTGCCCTTTCAGAGAGTTGAGTCATTTGATCATGTTAAACAGGGTTTACCATGTCCATCAAAGTGAGCCGAGTGTAGTTAAATTGTCCTACTACCACACAATTACAGCAGAGACTCAGAGACTGCCTGGTCCTGTCATTAATTAGTCAAGTTTATATAGACTGGAGGATTTGGTTGAATGGATATGTGTTCAGTTTCTCTTTCTTCTTTTTCCACTCCCCATCTTTGGATTGTTTAACATTGCTTAGGTGAAAGTCACACAGAGTACAGAAGGCCACGATCAGCCGCAACTGATAAAAGTATTACAGAAAGGAGAATACTTTGGAGAAAAAGCTCTTATCAGGTAAATCCATGAATTTGTATAACATAATTATATAATCAACAACGGGTTTTTTGTTGTTGTTGTTTTGATTGCTTTGCATATGAAACTATTCATATAGAGTTGTCAATTGGAGCCACCAAATTAATGATGACCAATATCCAGGAATTTAAACAATTTTTAATACGTTTTTTATGCAGGAGATAAGTATACTAACTTCGCACAGGAAACTTAAATTGGAAAATGTTAAGTTTGATAGTGATGATAAAATTGATATTACAATTTTTAGTTTATAAAGAGTCAGAGAAAGAGATTAAAGATGTAAAAGCTATATTTTCCACTTGAGAATAATTTTCTTTTTTTAAAGCTTCTGAGGTTTGAAATGTTGCCATGTTTAAAGTTTTCTCCTTTCTTTTTCATCAAATAATGGTTTTACATATTTTGGATGTTTTTTAATCATCATACCAAAAGCAATATTTTAAGAATATGCTCCAAATAGTGTGTTCGAAATTTCTACCTGAACCTCAGGGTTCTTTTTTTCTTTTATACACTGTACAGAAGAAATATTTTAAAAGGAAAATAAAATGGCTTAGGGGATACTTTGTACTTCCTGGAACTCAGAAAAAAACCTGAAGTCTGAAGAAATTAATTTCCCTAAATATGAATAACTTTTTAAAAGATAAATTTTAGGGCAGCACACCTTTTTTTGGTATTACATGTTTTTAAATGAAAACTTGATATTTGTTAAGAAATCGCTTAAAATCTGTGTTGTGACTAAACATTTTTACTTCCAATTTACGCTTATAAGAAAAGCAGTATTTCTGCTCATTTATCTTCTCCTTGACTTTTGTCTACTGATTTGTATGTCAGATTTACATTGGCACAGCACAAAGAAAAAGTATTCATAAATTACCTGAAGACATTTTTGATTATTTCAGATCATAAACCTCTTATTAAAAAAAAAAACAACTAAAATTCAATGAATTAAGTTATAGATAATACATAAACAACTTAAAAATGGAATTGAAATACCAGCTGAATATTTTTTCTCATTTTCTAGCTTGTAATGAACTAGTTTCAATCACAGGGAAATTGTCCTTTCTTTTTTTGTTCATTTCTTTCTTTCTTTGTCACAGAATGTGAATACATTTTCATGCAACATAATCAGGTGATATCGTTATCCAAAACTTCAGTACTTCAGTGTATTCTTTCTTAACATTTACGGGTTATTTTTTTCATACCTCCAAGCAAAACTACTAAAGTCTGAAAGTGCACAAGAACTTTATAAAGGCACTTTAGAGCCAAAATAGCTCTCAAAAAGGGAATATGCTGTCTGGTTTTGCTGAATCTGCTACACTTATGCTAGCCAATTATAGTGTTTTCCCATAAGAAACACAGCAATTTATGTTTAATATAGACACTCAACTCCCAAAACCTTTTGAAAGCATAAAGTTAAGATCAATGAGAAGGAAAATTGGATATAGATGTTTTTATGCATTTATGCTATCACTTTTTAGGGCCACCGAAATGTGGCTCAATATTCCTCAAATTCTGTATATTTCTGACTTGACGCTAAGTAGTCCTCGGAGTTCTTTGAGAATTTTGTGTGCACTCATGAAGTTATTATGAAAGGAAGATAAGTGTATTTATAAACATCTAATACTTGTAAAGTGTTTGCCTAGAATATTCCCAGTCAACATCATGACACTGACAAGTAAAAGGAATGCCATACCTTTCTTTTTCCTGAACTCAAATAGTTGGCTCACAATTAAGTATTATATCTATAGCTATATATCTATATACATGTACACAAACTGAGTACAAACTAGCCTGCTACCAACTCAGAAAGCCCATGAAGCATCAATATTTTCACCAATTTCTTCTAACAACCCATTGCAGTAGAGTTGATTCCAACTCATAGCTACCCTATAGGACATAGTAGCACTGCCCCATACCGTTTCTAAGGAGCATCTGGTGGATTTGAACTGCTGACTTTTTAGTTAGCAGCCGAACTCTTAACCGCTACGCCATCAGGGTTTCCTCTTCTAACAAGGACCTGTAAACTTAGGACAGACTCTGAATTATGTCAGAAGGTCTCTGGATGTTGGCTCTGTGGCTACAGGACTCCTTCTGAATGGTAGAGATGGGCTGCTGAAGTTCTTCCAGTCACATCACTAAGGGAAGATAAAGAACTGTACTTTGTATGATACCATTTTTATTGAAGTTTCTCAGAGTAGTTCTAATCTTTACTACTCTATGGTATGCTTGATATTCCAAGGTCGCCTTAAATGAATTTCATTGCACTGGGTACCACAGGGGTGTGTGGTGTAGTGTCTTTAGTTTATGCATTGATTAGGTGACACCTAACAGTGCCAACAATAGAAGGAGGAATCTATTGTAGTTTTGGTTAGGTGCCATCAGGTCGGTTCCGACTGATAGCGACCCTATAAAGTACAAGTAAAGGATCTTAAGGAAATACTTTTACCCAATGCTTGACCCATTGGTATTCATTGGATAATTAAATGTATCATCATTAGATCATATACCATAATTCATCATATCTAAGATATCATCGTTTGTAAGATGCATATTTTATACTCCAAGAGAAAGAGAGAAAATGCTGCTCATTAAATGTAAGACATCAAATGTAAGACATACTCTGACTTCAGTTATTTTAATGGAAAATATACATCCAAAACTCTGTGAAATAAAAATATTTTAGTATTTATTTAATTGGGTAATAATTAAACCAAACCCCTTGTCATCGAGTCAATTCTGACTCATAGCGACCCTATAGGACAGAGTAGAACTGCCCCATAGGGTTTCCAAGGCTGTAAATCTTTATGGAAACAGATTGCCACATCTTTCCCCCATGGAGTGGCTGGTGGGTTCGAACCGCCAACCTTTCGGTTCAACAGCTGAGCACTTAACCACTGCACCATCAAGGCTTCTAATTGGGTGATATGGTACTAAAAACACTTTCTTTGGCATTCATTATTGGATGGATTATCATATGTTCATTATTTGAATGTTTTTCCAATAAATTTCCCTGAGCAGTTAATTTCATAATAGTATTTTGCCTCTTTATTAATTAGTATGTCTACTTGGATCAGATGAGAGCTATTTTATTTTGGCCGAAACAAAGCTCAAAACTAGATTCCATATTCACTTGCAGTCACTGATTCCTCTACGGTCCCAGAACAATTGTCTTCTTCTCCTTTTAAGTCCTGTGTACATAAACTTCATCGGTACGCATTTCAAATCCTTTTCATGGGCAAGAGAATAGTCTTCGGGAGGATTTGGTGATAGAGCTTCATACAAAGTAACATTCCTTAATAAGAATGGATGCTTAATTTCTAACTGTAGTGAAAACTGACTTTTCTGGCTTTTTCTGCAGTGATGATGTCAGGTCAGCTAACATTATTGCTGAAGAAAATGATGTCGCATGCCTGGTTATCGATCGAGAGTGAGTACACCGAAGTTGTCGGGGAAGGCACCACTGCCACCGTTGCAGATTTGGCTTTCTGTTATCCAAGGGACCGATCTATCTTCCCATTCATCACCACTAGGAAATGTTGGCCAATTGTCAGCTGCAAGTACATTCTATTAAAATTCATGGGGAGAAACCAGGCCCTCTGATCTGAATCTGTCTGAGGCAGTGGCAAATGCTGGCAGGCTAAATATTTTGTGTGCAAAGTTTGTACATAAATATCAGCAACGGACTGATTTACATTCTGCATCTCCCAGAGAAATAAGCTTATTAGTGCTCTTATAAATTTTCTTTCTACGAAACAGTGAACAATTTCACAGTTTATTTCTAAAATACTCTAATCAGTCAAACAAATTTTCTGAAGAAAACCTATCTCTCTCAGGCAGAATATAAAATATTCTTTAGCTATATATACACCCAGAGAAGTTTTAATTTAACATCTGTAGCAATTTGTAAAGGGACGTGTATCATCAATATTAATCTCTAAAAGGCTTAGATTATTTTTCAGAGTAAGTGTCATTTTATGCCCGTAACTCTCTCGAAACCGTATTTGGATCTGAACCCTTAGATCTTTCATTAAACAGTTAAACATTTATTGGTTATTTACTAGATAAAATAAAAGAAGTGCAAATTTTTCAAAGCCAGACCATTGTTTAAGAATAATCATAGTGTAGTCAAAGAAATAGGGCATATTAATATGAAATATTAACAGAAATAGGTATCACAAGAGAGGATGTAGTTGATTGCTAATTGAATACAACAGTTACTGAATGTCAATTCATAGAGGTTTAGAGGTAGAAAGAAACTTAGAGTTTTTTTTATTTAAACTTTTTATTATAGAAAATTTCAAACATATTCAAAAGTAGACAGAATAGTATTGTGAACCCCATGATGCAAATTCAACAATTATCAGCTCATGCTTCATCTCGACCCCTTTGCCACTCTTTGCCTTCCCCATACTATCCTCAAGCAAGTTCTAAACATAAAATTAATCTGTCTATATATTTGAGCAGCATCTCTAAAAGCTAAGTATTATTTTTAATACATAACCATAATACCATTAATACACCTAAAAAGTTGCAAATAAATATGTCTTAGTTTTGATTCTCTATAGAGAAAACAAAACCAATGATATGTATATGTAGAGAGAGAGAGAGAGCGAGAGAGCTGGTCCTTTGAAAGGATTAGCTCACGTGATTTTGGGAGCTGGCTGGAAAGTCCAAATCCACAGGTCAGGTAACAGGCTAGAGGCTCAATCTTGGAATTGTGGGGAACTGGCAAGTCCCAAAATCTGTAAGTCAGGTGGCAGGCTGGGCACTTGTGCAAGTTTTTGTCCCAAGATCTGTAGGTCAGGTGACAGAAGAGTCCAAAGTGGAGAGAGAGAGAAAGTTCTTCCAAAATATCTATTTATAGTATGAAGGCAGAATACACCCTAAGGAAACTCCCCTTTCAATGGATTGGTTGATTACATTACATTAGATTACATTATTGTAAGTGATTACATCATGTCACATCACATCACATTACATTATGGAAAAGCAACTAATCTAATATTTGGCCAAACCACTGGGAACTATAGCCTAGCCAAGTTGACACATAAAATTAACCATGATAAACCCTTAATATAATTTAGAGTTATTTTAATTCCCACCCTTACAGATAAAAAAAAGTTAGTCCCAGATAGGCTAATGAATTGCCCCAACAGTGCCATTGTGATGGAGCAGGACTGCTCCCCAAGTTTCCTGATTCATTCCAGCATTATTACCACTGTGCCTTTTTGGCTGCCATGGCATGTGTTCAGTAAAAAAAGCAATCACTGTGCAGTAAAGTGGGCAAGGTTTTTTTTATTATTATTACTTAAAGTGTGGAATTGGGGCTTAAAAAATTAATAGAATTTTTCTAGGCAGAAAGGAAACATGGACTACACTCCAAATGAAGTAAAATTCAAAAGCAAAGTTACAGGACTAGAACAGTTCAAAGTATGTTCAGGGAACAGTTAATTTTTGGATCCAACTCTCAACAAATGGAAAATATATTGGTACAATAGTGTCCAAATAATGCATTATTTTGTACATAATAGTTCCTTAAAAATACATGCATCTATTAAGTAGCATTAGCTGTGTGGTGACATAAATTGCTCCAAAATACTAGGACTAAATATACGATAGAAAGGAATAACTCTTTTCATTTTTCTTCATTGTAATCTCATACATCACATATTTATGTACTGTTTCTTGTATTCATTATCTGTAAGAAAGGATGTAATTATTTTGTGTAGCTTGCACATTATTTGGAAATTTATAATTGTAAAATGTTTAATTAATTTGCAAGTGTATAGTTGAGATCCTTTAATGTATAAAGTATTGCCTTAGGTACCATGAGACATAAAAATTTGTATGAATCTATTCTATGACTCAAAGAATCTGAGGATCCAGGTATGACGTTGATGACCTACACCTAGAATTTCATGGGATAGATAGTTCTGGTTATCCCAACATATTTATTATTGGCAGTTCCCTTCACTCCAAAAAATGTCCCAGTTTGGATGATAAATTATATGATCGCCCTAGCTATTACTTACAGTCTGAATGCTCCCATAGCACACACCATATATATTCTTATCATTAATCACACTTCATTTAATTGATTTATTTATCATCTGTATTCCCATGAGTACAGACACCAGGGAAGTCTTGTCGACTGCTGCTGCAGAGCCAGCATTGGAAACAGTCCTTGGCATATGGGAGGTGCTCACCAAATGTTGGCAGAATAGAGAGCACTGTCTTTGCAATGAAATATAGTGACGAAAAGCCCATGACTTTTAATTTTTGCTTTCCTGATTTATTATTTTAACAAATGCCTAAATGAATACATTACAAGAAGGAGAGTTAAAGTTTGAGCTGTATTTCATATTTTTTAAAATATGATAAAACATTTAAAATAGTTGTGGAAAAGGGCAATAGTTCTAAACAAATGGAAGCATTATTTATGACATTTCCATCATTATTTGATTGTTGAAACAAATCTCAAAGGAGCTTATTCGTTACCCCCAGGCTATAACATCCAAATAAATACAGGCTGTTCGAATGGAGTAGCTAAAATATTATAGCTGTTTCAACTTGACTTTCAGATTAGTTAGCTAAGTACTTTTAGAGACTTGTGACACAAGTGCCACCTACATTTAAAAAAAATGGTTTACAACAAATACTTCAGTTAATTTAATAGCAAATAAAATAGTGCTGAAGTATACACTAAATATAGGAACGATCATGAAGATGGGGACAGTTTCTTTCTGTTATACACAAGGTTGCCATGAGTTGGAGCTGACTCGATGGCAACTAGGTACAACAACACAGAATAAATAAAAACAAAACAAAGTACAAAAATTATTTGTTTTTTACTTGAAAATTTCTTATTGGAAATTAGAAATTCCATGGTAATGCTCTTTTATTTTTCGCTACTCTAGAGTCAGCAGTGGTCAGTCCACAGGACAGCGTAGAAAAGAGTAGAGAGTAGATCTAGAGGGGCAAATGGAAAATACCTAGCACAGCATGTGATACATGCGTAACCATGTAAAAATAGAGAGGCATTGATATTGGAGTCGGTTAAATGTGAGTGGTGGTCTTCAGGGCTAGGCTGGCAGTTAAGTTGCCACAGTCCACTGTTTAGGTGGTTCCAGCTATCACTTTAAGACATTTGCAGGTAAAGTTACATTCTTTCATTCTACTATGTACAAGGTGCTGAAGATATTACTGGGATGATTAAAGCACGGTCTCTACTTTAAAGAAACATACTATTCTATAGTAGAGGAGAGAAATACCCTAATAATCAAAAATCAAGGTAGATTGTAGGATGTGGGTGTGGGGAAACATTGGAAGGACAACCAAGAAAAAACATTTCCTTGGTAAGCAAGGGGATTGTTTTTTCTCATGGAGAGTGTAGGATGTAAGAATTTCCAGAGACAATGGACTGAGATGGGGGACAGGGAGCTTAGGTTGACGCACCACAAATCTGTGATCCTTGAAGGGTGAGGGAGGTCAAGGGAGGATGGCTAGACCTCAGACAGAAAACAGCTCAGCTAAGGTGAAAAAGATTACTTAGGAAGCAATGTGGAATGAGCAGTATCTAAGGATAAGAGAGTTAAGGGATACGTTTTATACTTGATTTTTAAAACAAATGGCTTACATAATTTAATTAACCAAAATAAGAAAAAAACATGTAAGCTCTATAACCTTTTGATTTAGTAAACAGATCATGTAGACTATTTTCTTTCCACCGTCTTCATCAAAAAATAAAAATAAACGAAAAGACACAACTGTTGGTAAACCTGAACTGCAGGCATGAATAGAAGACTCCAGAAAATATTTTTCTTCTCACTGACATTCCCTTTGCTTTCATAAACTCAGAGGATCAATTACTGGTATGTGACTTCTAACAACTATCCTGGTGAGCATTGGAGGTTGACTGGTAGAATTTTCACATTCCATGCCAGAAACCTGGGTTCAATCTCATGCACGACCGCTACCTATCTGTCAGTGGCAGCTTGCATGTTGCTATGATGCTGAACGGATTTCAGCCAAGCTTCCAGACTAAGATAGACTAGGAAGAAAGGCTTGGAGATCTGATTCCGAAAATCAGCCAGTGAAAACCCTATGGATCGCATGGTCTGATCCAAACCCATCATGGGGATGATGCAGGAACAGGCAGCCTTTATTTCTATCATACATGGGGTCACCATGAGTTGAGAGCTAACTCAGCAGCTAACAACAGCAAATAACTATTTTACATATTATGACAAATTTAATATCCCATCGATTATTGAAAAACAATTTACAAAGCTGGAGTAACCATACAAGTAGTCCTTATTGAGCCTGAGAGAATATGTCAAGTGAAATCATACCTATCAGCACAGAGCTTTTTATTCTATTTTATTTTGTTTCTTTAGAACATTCAACCAAACGGTGGGGACATTTGAAGAACTCCAAAAATACCTTGAGGGGTATGTGGCAAACTTGAACCGTGATGATGAAAAAAGACATGCAAAGTAAGTGGTGGAATATTCTCCTAAGCCAGCTATGGCTTCCGACAGCCAACAAAGTGGGGAAGGAGTGTGATTTGCTATGTGGGTACCTTTAGTGTGCCTTCACTAGAAAATTTGGGGAGTTCATTTTAATTGTTCTTCTGCAAAGAGGATAAAACTTAACTACTACCATGTTTTTTTTTTTAAAGGCCTATAGTCAGATCTTTCATACTGTGATGAGTAGGAATGTTAGGGAGAAACTTCCTGACAGGAGACCTTGGAAAAGGGACTTTTCCTTTTGTCTGGTGACTGAGTTCAAGGGGATATTAATTCACAAAGGATCCTCTTTTCCTGTCTTTCAATGGAAATCAAACAGGAAAGTCGATTTACTAGAGCAAACCATTCATTCTAATTATGGGAAAAGAGCTAGGCTTGTAGTCAGAATTATTTGAAACTATAAGGGAACTATTGCCTAGGGATGTGTGTGTGTGGGAGGGGGGTGGGAGGGATCTAAATGTTGTGACACTAATAAGTTTTATTTAATAGAAAACTCTAGTTTTTATAAATGAAAATTATTAGAAAAGTATTTGCTACGTTTTGTAGAATAAATACTTAAGCATAGGTGGACTATCAAACCTACAGAATCAAGTTGTAAAAAACTGAAGTATAAGTTAAATTAGAGCATTCAATCAGAGCCTCGAGCTTTTTGCAAGGAACAAATGTGTATTTTTTATCCTGAAGGCCTTTCATAGTAACAACAACTTATGAATATGTAACCGAGAGCAGTAAAAGTTAATTAAAAGAGAAAAATGGATATTTCAAAACAACAGTATTTGGACATAAAGTGAGCAATGCACTGTTTATATTTCACAAAGCAGTTATTCTGATTCAGCCACGGAAAGCTTTAAGATTTGACAGAAATAGCCAACTGCAGCAAAGATTCTCAGTGTGACATTCTCTTTTCTGTGGAGCAAAGGGAATTGCTCTCTGGTTTCATTCGCTGTCATTGTCTCATTGACACTTTTTCTTTTTTTTTTTTTAAGCTTTATTGAGGTATATTTTGCATACCACAAAATTCACCCATTTTACCTCTCATTGACTTAGTTTGATATTTGTCTATTTCTTGTGTGTGTGTGTGTGTGTGTGTGTGTGTGTGTGTGTGTTCGTTCCTGTTTTTGTTTGTATATTCTGCTGCTTTTCTCCCCAGATGGGCTTGAATTTGATTCTTTAAAAGTTGAGATACCTTTGTGGCAACTATGGACAGGAGTTGCTTGCAGAATAAGACCGTTCTAAGAGTGGAATTTATATATGGCGTGACCCTTGGTTGACTAAGGGGTGTATACAAATTGTCACGTCTCTTCTGCAGGAGGTCCATGTCTAACTGGAAGCTGTCCAAAGCACTCTCTCTGGAGATGATTCAGCTGAAGGAGAAGGTGGCCAGATTTTCCTCATCATCCCCATTCCAGAACCTTGAGATTATTGCGACACTGGGCGTTGGTGGGTTCGGAAGAGTTGAGCTTGTAAGGGGTTTACGTTTCAAGCATCTGAGAGAAGCCTTTTGACTTTTGTTTTGTTTTGTATTCCAGTGTATCTTAGAGGAATATATGAATTGTTATCAATATCTAAAACTTTGCTTTGAACAGAAATTGAGAAAGTAAACTTTGCTGTCTGTATTTTGTATAGTAGCAGGCCTATACTTATAACTTTTAATAATATAGCTACTATTTCAAGCTTCTTAATAACACTCTGTGTGAATTTTTTAAATGATAATTATTGGAGTTTGTAACAAGTAAGCATCTCCAAAAGCCTGTAAGATATAAAAGATATGTTTATACATACACTGAAGACACATTAACTCTCTATACACTAGAGAAAAATGGAAGTGACATAGAAATGAAATCTTTAATATTACAGTTAAATCTCTTAACTTCCACTACCATGTCTATATCGATTTATTTGGCTCTCATTATGCTATTTTAGAGTTGCTCAAAATTTTCTGTCAGACAAAAGAAACGAAGATGAGTGCCTGAGGAAATTTGAGAGCAGCTTTCTGTAGTGTTTACCAGCGCAGCTGGGAACTTGGGGCCTGATTTCTGTTACATCTTCCACATCACCACTTCTCTGAGCTTTATAAGCCGCTTCCAAAGAGCAGCACAAGTGGCGCTATCAGACCAGGTGTCCTGAGGAAACTGTAAAACGGAGACCTGTGCCCTTCCTGGGTGCAGATGGCTCTTCACCCTTGGCAATTAGCAAGCCCTTCTTTGCCCATCAGATTTTTAACAATTCACCGTACATTAAACTCCGAGAACTATGCTGATACCTCCATCTGCTGGATGGGGCTGAGCAGAAGCAGATCTGAAATACTGCCAGGAGACTCTGGATAGTACACTTCACACCTAGTCAGTACTTCATCCCTGATGGTTGAGGGGAGGGAAATGGTTTCTTAAGAGTGCAAAAGATATTTATAAAGTTTTTTGTGCCGTATGGAGAGACAAGGACAATATCCATCTGCAATGGTGATTTTCACCAAAGATCTTGGCAAAAAGGTTTGAATGAACAATGCTGAGATCTGTTTGTTTTTTTTTTTATAGTTAGATAATAATAATTAAAGCGGTAATCCACCATTGATTTAAAAATCGTAGGCAACACTAATAGCCAATGGGAGCAAAATACAGGATATAGCCATTTCTGCATAATCTAGTTACTTGTCAAATATATTGTGCTAATGAAGTTTGAAGCCTATCAGAACTAATACCTATTTTAAAATTTTTATTTCCTTTTAAGGGAGAAGTCTGGTTATCCTTCTAGAGCAGTGCTCTCTGATAGAGCTTTCTGTGCTGATGGAAATATTCTGTATCTATGCTGTCCAGTAGGGTAACCACCAGCTACATGTGGCTGTTGAGCATTTGAAAGGTGGTCATTGTGACTGAGGAACTGAATTTTTTTTCCCTTAATTTAAATTTAAATAACTTCATGAAACTAGTGGCTACCATATTGGATAGTGCTGATATAGAGCTTGATTTGTATGTGTTGTTTTGAAAATCAAAGAAGTGAGTATTAAGAAAGATAGAGCAATGTTTTGGCAATTCCAGTCAAAGTTTTTCATGTCACACAGTCAAAACTGAATGGAGATTTCTAAACAAAGTCTTGTAACCAGAGGTTTTTTTTTGTTTGTTTGTTTACTAAAAAAATTTAGAACCATATTTGTGAACTATTTTGGAAATGTGCCTACCTGAATGGAAATCAGTTCTCAGAGGGATGAGTGGTTAAATGCTTACATATCATTTAAATGTGAAAGAAATTTAACTCTTGTAAATTAATCTGTTTTCTGTAGATATTATAAATCTTTACCAGTAAGTTAATTTTGAGAATCTTTCTATTTCTTACACAGGTTAAAGTGAAAAATGAGAATGTTGCTTTTGCTATGAAGTGTATAAAGAAGAAACACATAGTTGACACTAAGCAGCAAGAGCATGTCTACTCAGAGAAGAGGATCCTGGAAGAGTTGTGTTCTCCATTCATCGTAAAGTAAGTGAGCATTCAGCCTCCAGGACTTAGGGTTTTTAGGCTCTTCTTTTGAATATTTACTTTCCAGAAGACAGAAGGAGAGGGAGAGGAAGCCCTACTCTGACTTCTCCATTCCAGTTACAGCAATAGTGCTTAAAATGGTGGAAGTTTGAGATCTGGGGCCAGGAGTTTTCCAGATGTTTTTATTCTTAAGTCGGTCTTAGGAAAGTGAGTGCACTGGGGGAGGGGGGAGTGTGAATATAAAAATGATCTTGGAATAAATTTTAACTGAGTGTTTGATCTAGAACTAATGCAAAATTTGGGAGGAGTGGAGGAAGAATTCACCAGAAAGTCTTCAGGGGCTGTGGTAATGTTGACTTTCTGCCAGAGGTGGTGCCTGGAGTCTGTGGATGCCAAGGAGCACCCTAATGTGGCCCTAGCAGTGCCTGGATAACGTGGGGTCCATCTCCTCATGGCTCTTTCTGTAGTCATCACCAGAGTTTGGAGGAGAAGTATAGATGATTCTAAGCCACAGCTCTCTTTATTGTGAATTCATTTGCTAGTGGTGCACACAAGTTTATGTTTTCATGTATGTCTTAAGACCCCAGAGAATATCTTTTAGTGATTTCTGAGTGATGTAAAGTGCTCCTATAATGAATAAAATTTATATCTTTTTGGTCAAATTTCTAGAAAGAATCTTCCTGCCTAACCATATTCCCAGCCTCCCCGCCCCCCACCCCTTTTCTTTTCAAGATTAAAAAAGAAGTCTGAGCTCAGGCAATGCTGGCAATAGTCATTCAGTTACCTTTATATTAATTTTGTTCCCAGAATGCCCTTTCATTATCAGTATATCAATAACAAACTATGATGAGCAACTTCAGGGCATGGACTAGGTCTTACTCATTTTTTTTTTTAATTTTTTTATTCCCAGTTCTTTGCAAAGAGCCTGGACTATAGTAGGATGATAATAATATCAAGGCTAAATGTTAATGACATTTATTGAGTACTTACCATGTGCCAGGCACTCTTCTAAACTATTTATTCATCATTCATTCATTCATTTGATCCTCTTAATAGACCAGTAAGGTTATGATTATCCTCACTGTACAATGAGAAAACTGAAGGCACATAGCTGTTGTGGCTGATCTGGGATTCAAGCCCAAGCAGCTTGTTTCCAGAGCTCACACTCTAAGCCCTTTACTAGCTTACCTCTTCTATCTGTACATAATATGGCTGCTCTACTCTTTCCTTTAGCTTGGCCACGGTGCTAGGGAGGGAACCGGTTATTAAGACCTAGGAACTATTTTTACTCAATGTTGAAATGTGCTGCTCCATCCAATCTTCCTTCATGACTGAGTCTCTCATTCCCCCCAGTTTTGAGGAGTGCTGCCAGCTGAGACCTGGAGCCCAATCCCTCTCTGGGCATTGTCTCAGCCAAAGAGAACCACTCTGCCCATGATCATGCCCTCTCCCCTGGGATATATTGTTTATCATGACTGGCTGATGGAGGAGGAGGGTATCCAAGAAGAGCTCTTTGAGGCCGACACTTTTGTTGTGACTGCATCACAGCCTAACTCTCCCTCTGCCCAAACGTGCCTCCTTCCTCCCCCACGGGTGTTATTCTCAGTACACTCTTTACTAAACTCACTGCCCACAAATCTCTGTCCCAGAGTCTGTTTCCAGGGAAATCCAGCATATATTAATCAACTCATGGACGTAAGACATGAGCATAAATAACCATTATGCAAGGCAGGACTTAACGGAGTTAAATGCAGAGGCCTCTGGGTTTTTTTTCCCCTGGTGGCACAGTGGTTAAGAGCTCAGCTGCTAACCAAAAGGTCAGCAGTTTGAATACACCAGCCACTTCTTGGAAACCCTATGGGGCAGTTCTACTCTGTCCTGTAGGGTCACTATGAGTCGGAATTGACTCGAAGGCAACAGGTTTGGTTTTTTGGGTTTTTGGAAGAAGAAGTGGCCACCTTTAGTAGATGAGATAATGAGCTGCTTTTTCAAGTAAGAAGGCTTTGAGCTTGGCCTTGAAGAATGGATAAAATTTTTCCAGTGAAACTGATATGAAGTTTAGTCCCTGGGAAGAGGGAGGGCAGTCTAAGTAAAGGGATCAGCAGAAGCAAAGGGAAGGCAGTAGGAAAGATCCACTCGCAGAGAGCCCAGTGTAGTTTTAAGATATGTGTAAGGAGATGAGGGACATTGTTCAAAATGTTATTGATGGTGTACTTAAACCATTTTAAGAGAGTTTTAAACTAGATTTCTAATGATAACCATGTTTTTATCTGTCTTCACAGGTTATATCGTACTTTCAAGGACAATAAGTACGTATACATGCTTCTGGAGGCCTGCTTAGGTGGGGAGCTATGGAGTATATTAAGGGACAGGTAATGAGAAAGAGTTTATAAACAATAGCTTTTGTCTAACCACACGTCGTCTAAAGCATCTGAAGGATGCTATATTCAGGATCATTTAAAGAGTCATGAAGGAAGCTGTTAGGAAATGATTATAAGGAAATATGGGGATTTCTGGACAATGCAGACCTTTCTAACCAAAAGAATAAAAAGTATAAGCTTTCCCTTTGATGAGTTTATAGTTTGCTTGGGGAGATAATGTAATTTTAAAATATTTTATTATTTAAGTTGAAAATAATGACAAAGAAGTTGGCAGTTTCTAACTACATGCCACATGAGTGTTGTAGATAGTAAGTTCAGAGGAGAGGAGAGAGAGAAGAACTTGATGGTGGAGGAAGGACTTGAATTAAGCTCTAAAGAGCTTAATTTTGGTAAAGTAGGGAGGAAGGGAAACTGGTGTAAGATGAAGCAGGAAAGCTGGGATACTATCAGGTCTCTTTGTGGATGAGGAATAGAATAGGTTAAGTAAAAGATAAGGGCAACAGAAGAGGAGATGAGAAGTTAGGTTGACACTAGCTTGTGGAGGTTAATGCCAGGTGAAAACATTTAGACATTATTACCTGGGCCAGTGGTTCTCAGCCTTGGCTGCACATTACAATCACATAGGGAGCTTTTATAACATGTAAATTCTGGGCCTTAACTCCAGAGATTATGATTCAGTTCATCTGGGATTGGAACCCAGAAAATGATTTTTTTTTTTCTTCAATGCTTCTCACAAATTCTAATGTGCAGTCATGGTTGAGAATCACTCACCTGGGCAAGAAGAAGCCACTGAGAATCAGAGTAGAAGATGATTGTTTTGTGTTAGGCGCATATTGTTAGATGGATTTGAATGGAGAGGACCTGAAAGGTTGAGGAGACTTTCATGATACTGAAAAAGCATAGGTATGTGCCGTCTGTGCTTCAACAGGCAAATCTGTTTAGAAAAGGAGTTCCTACTACCTGTCAGCCACTGTGCCTGACCCTCAAAACAACATGTGAAGTAAGTAGCAAACTCATTTTACAGATATGGGTTTTGAGGCTCAGAACAGTTAAACAACTTGCCCAACAGCACAGTATGTGGAAGAAGCAGGATTTTAACCCAGGCTCGCTCACTCCAAAACCACTCTTCCATTATACCACACACCACATCATCACCACATTTTAAGAATTCATTATGTAAAACTACACACAATGCTGACAACAAGGAAACCCTAAGATGACCAAAGTGCACCAAAAAGAAGGTATCATGGCGTCGTGTCCTGGGTTATTGCTACATGAAATACAAAACAGAAATGAAAATGGTCACTTAAGTCATTTTTTAAGTCAAAACAATGAATTGCAGAAGTCAGGTTCAAACTCACCATTGAAATAGTTGCATTGTCTCCAGAGTTTGCCATATATATCCGAATAAATGTGTTTATTTTCTTATCTTCCTATTTTACATGTTCACAGATGATGATAATTATTTGGGTATAGACATTTTCATTTAAGAGATATAGCCCTTGTTTGCATTAGTTGCCCCCACCCCTCCCCAAATCTCTTTATGATCAACAAACAGCATGATTCATTGGCAGTATAAAATACTTTTTAGTGTTGATGCCCTGCAAAACATTTGTATTAACAAATTACCAATACAATGATCAATACCTAGAAGAGACAACAAAGGTGAGTGTCCATAGAATTAACAGGGAACATGCTTTCATTGCAGGGGCAGCTTTGATGAACCCACTTCCAAGTTCTGTGTAGCTTGTGTGACAGAAGCATTTGAGTACCTGCATCATCTAGGTATTATCTACAGAGACCTGAAGCCAGAAAATTTAATTCTAGATGCAGAGGGTTACCTTAAATTGGTAAGACAAATTCTCTAACTTGCAATATCATCTGAGGTATTTCCAAACACAAAGCTACGTTATGTTGCAATTTTCTTTTTCATTTTGGTGCAGCTGTTATTTCCACAATAAGGGCTATGACCTTGAAATTAGCACACATAATTCTGAGAGCAGTATTATGACTACATCCTTTTTGTGTAGAAACTTAAATGTTCCAACCATATTTATGATGCCTGCTGAGCATTCACATAATAGAATGTATTTAAAATTAGATTTTTAAAATTAGTTTGTTTAATAATTTTAACTAGGTTTTAATTGAATCCTGCTATTTATAGGGACTGGCTGTATGAATTAAGAAAGAAGATAGTATGGCTCCTTTCCCAAGATATCCACAGTCAGTATAGGGAGAGGAGATAAGCATATAAAGGTTGATTGTTGTTAGTTGCTATAGAGTCGGCTTCAATTCATAGTGAATTTATGTATACCAGAATGAGACATTGCCCAGTCCTACACCATCATTGCTATTACTTTTGAAATCTCTCTAGGTGACTGTAATCACAAGACTGGACTACAGGCTCTTTGAGGACAAAGCCTTTCCTTGTTGCCACCTTTGTAACCTCCCAATGTCCAACATGAACCTCCTTGCATGTCATACTATAGAAAAATGGTACCAACCAACCTGAAACTTCTTTCAGAGAGAAACTGTTAATAAAACTGGACAGTCATAATTGAGGAAATATCAAGGCACTGTGTATCTCAGGAGGGGACCCCATCAGGAAGGGAGTCCATTTTGTCAGTATCTCAGGGACATTAAACCATCTCTGAAGTGAACATTTCTAAAGATATTAAAAATCTACTCTCATCAGAACTTTTATATAAAGAAATAACAATTTAATAAACAACTACTCTTTGTAATGCTAGTATGCTAAACCTTTTACAATTAATCTTTTTAACAACCTACGAGGAAGATTTTGTCATCACATGTTACAGTTGTGGAATTTAACCTTAGGAATTAAATTTATTATATATAATTGCCAAGAGATTTCTTTCCATGTCAAAGGAATGAAATTAAAGCTCTTCCATGTGCAATCTGGCCAGCTTCCAAGAAACATTTTGATTCATTCAAGCTTTATTTTATTCATGAAAGACAGCTTTGAGAACTGGTATGGTACTAGCACAAGGCCTCAGTCATACCTTCTGTCTTAGTCATCTAGTGCTGCTATAACAGAAATACCACAAGTGTACAGCTTTAACAAAGAGAAACTTATTTCTTTACAGTAAAGCTGGCTAAAAGTCCAATTTCAGGGTGTCAGCTCTAGGGAAGGCTTTCTCTCTGTCGGCCTTCTCTTCAGTGTTCCCCTGGACTAGGAGCTTCTCTGCGCAGGGATCTCGGGTCCAAAGGACTCGCTCTGCTTCCAGCACTGCTTTCTTGGTGGTATGAGGTTCCCCCTTCTCTGCTTGCTTCCCTTTCCTTTTATCTCTTGTAAGATAAAAGGTGGTGCAGGCCACCCCCCAGGGAAACTCCCTTTACATTGAATCAGGGATGTGACCTTAGTAAGGGTGTTACCATCCTAATCCTCTTTAACATAAAATTACAATCACAAAATGGAGAGCAACTGCACAATACTAGGAATCATGGCCTAGCCAAATTGATACACACATTTTTGGGGGGACCTAATTCAATCCATGACACCTCCTCTTCATGATTGCTGCATTAATTATGCCCCTTACAGCTCTCTATGAACCCTTTTGAATAATATTGAAATAAAACTATCATGAGGAATGCAGGCTATCCATTAGATTCATCCATTCCTTCTCAGAAAATTGTATAGCATATTCAGAATTTATAGACCTAGAAGCCGATATGTAACTCCCATTTGCCATTGAACCACTTTGACAACCAGCTTAATGAAAGGAAATAATTAAAACCTTAGAGAGTACAAAGTAGATGTTGAATATTTACTATATATGAGACTACCCAGTATGCCCACTGCCATCAAGTCGATTCTGACTCATAGCAACCGTATAGGACAGAGTAGAACTGCCTCATAGGGTTTCCAAGGCTGCATATCTTTACAGAAGCAGACTGCCATATCTTTCTCCCTCGGACTGGCTGGTGGATTTGGACCGCCAGCCTTTGGTTAGCAGCCGAGTGCTTATATATCAAACTAGATGCCCTAAAATCTCACTATAACATTTTCAGAAATACTGGAGGACATATGAAAAGCAGTATTACAAATTCACGGCTGAGCTTACAAGAAAGCATGGGGGATTTCTTTATGGCTGGAAACCAAGCTTGGGCAGTAGTATAAGGAAGAAATCAGGCATTGAAGCTATTAGCTGTCTTGTGGGCATCAAGCAATCCTAGGTGGCCCGGAGGTTTGATTTTAATAACTACACCCTCTGGGAACAGGAAACCAAGCTTTGGACCTGGGCAGTGTGGGAAGTTGAATCAGAGAACATTGCATAAAGCCAGAAACCACACAGATTATACTGTCAGAGAAATACAAAACAGGAAAATAATCCAATTTATAAAAACAAAATGTATGCATGGAGACATGTTTTTCTTATTCTTGGCTCTTGGTAGAGCACAAAAGAGTCTCCTCTAAGAATTTCTGACCATAGGCTGGTTTTCATTGAAGATTGGGTGCCCAGTCTTCAAGAATGGAAAACCCAAGAAAGAATTTAAATGAAAGTGAATCCGTGTTGACAGCATGCTCAATTGCCCAAAACTTGATGTATGTTCTCCCTGAAAGAATGCGCTGTCAACTCAGGACACCAAGAATACTTTAAGATGAAGTTTCAGGGAACATGAGCTCACATTAAAAAATAATAATAATAAAAAAATTCTTAAGAAAAAAGATACCATGAGCATTAGTTTGCAGAAGCAAAGAGAGCAGAAGCAGGCACATAAATGCTTCATATATTGGAGTAAACAGATACAGAATGTAAAATAACACATCTAATACTTTTTAAAAATAAGAAAGGGATAAAAAATGAGTAAGGAACAAGAGACCATCAAAAATGACGTAGCTGTTTTGGAAAAAACAAACAAACAGAACTTCTATTAAGAAATTAATTAAACTGAAATTAAAATTGCAGTGAAAGTTTAATGGAAGTTTAATGGTGGAGTAGTTTATATTAATCCTCTTGCTTAAATTAATTATACAGGCAGTCCCTGGGTTACGAATGTCTGACTGACTTACCCGTAATTACAAACCAACCCCCATAAAGCCTCTTATATTAAAAATTCGAGGTACGTAAAATGGTTCATAATAACAAATGGATGCTACTTTGCTGCTACTTTATTATTACTTTATCATTACTGTATTATTATGTTAAAGACATTTTAGTATATCTGGAAGTGTTTCTTTCATTTTTTTTAATGCATAGAAAGGTACACTATATGCTGTATACTAAGACAAACATTTGACTAACTGACCTTAGATACAAACTGTACCTGTTTTGACTTACATACAAATGTGACTTAAAGAAGACGTAGGAAAAGAACTCGTTGGTAATCTGGGGACTATTTGTATGTACAAAAATATGTGGAGGCACTAGAGAGCAATAACAAGTGGACATTCAAACTTTGGGAAACGTGAACCACACTGGGTAAGATCCACGTTTATACAGCTGTTTATTTCAGTACATTCCTCAGCATATAAGCCATGGGGGATAAGTCTTTAGTTAACACCATACTTAATGGTGAAATATGGAACACTTTCTCAGTAAATTTTGAACAAGGCATGAATATCTGCTCTTACCACCTTTATTCAACACTGTAATGGTCAATTCAGTGGTCAATTCTTGGTCAATTCAATAAACTAAGAAAAGAAATGAAAGACCAGATATTAGAAAGGAAGAGGTTAAGTGTCTTCATTTGCAGACGGAATTATTATTTGTGTATAAAAGCCTAAAGAATCCACAAAAAAGTGTTAGAAAGAATAAGTATATTAATCATGGATACAGGCACAAGGTCAATATACAGATAAACAAAAATTGATAAATGAAGTAAAAAATACCATTTACCAGAACATCAACATTATAAAGTAAATTTTAATAAATTTAAAAATGTATGAGAGCTATACATTAAAAATAATAAAATATTGCAGAGAGAAAAAAAGGAAAAACTAAAGAGTAAGATTTCCTATGTCTATGGATTGGATAACTCAATATTTGATAAGATATTCATTCTCCCCTAATTGATCTATAGATTCAATGCCATCTCAGTCAAAATGTAAGTAGCCATTTTTTTAAGAAACTGAAAAGTTTATTCTGATATTTACATGGAAGTGCAGAGGGTTTAGAATAGTCAGTAACTTCCTTGATAAAGAAGAACAAAATCGAAGAATTTACACCTTCTGATATCAAGAGTTAATCTTACTGTAAATGATCAACATGGTATGATATTGATATAAGAAAGTCTAGAAAGACGTATAACACAGTAGTCTTAGTTTCTTAGTGCTGCTGTAAGAGAGATACCACAAGTGGGTGGCTTTAACAAACAAAAATTTATTTTCTCATAGTTTACCCACTGCCACTGAGTTGATTCCAACTCATAGTGACCCCATAAGGTTTCCAAGGCTGTAAATCTCTACAGAAGCAGACTGTCACGTCTTTCTCACATGGAACCACTGGTGGTTTCGAACCACCGACCTTTCAGTTAGCAGTTGATCACTTTAACCACTCTGCCACTAGTGCTCCTTTCTCACTGTTAAAAAAAAACAAACAAACCAAACCCATTGCTGTAGAGTCAATTCTGACTCATAGTGACCCTATAGGACAGAACAGAACTGCCCCACAGGGCTTCCAAGGAGCGGCTGGTGGATTTGAACTGCTGACCTCTTGGTTAGCAGCCAAACACTTAACCACTGGCACCACCAGGACTCCTCTCACAGTTTAGGAGACTAGAAATACAGATTCCGGGCACTGGCTCTAAGAGAAGGCTCTTTCTATCTGCTCTGGGGAAAATCCTCATCTCATCCTTTTGTGACTCTTGAAACACTGTATCCCACCCA